ACGGGCGTGGTTTGCAATCCGCCCAGCCAATCAGACATAGGAACCTTTTTCTCCCACGAAAGTCCCTGCTCTCTAGCTGGGATGGAAAAGGGGGTAAAAAGGTTCTCATGAACAAATTTTAGTTCCGGCTCTTTTTGCTGTGAACGTGACATTTCAGAACTATATCAAAACTAAAGTGGGAAAAGAACTGCGGTGTGAATGCGCCTATTGGTATTTCTGAATGTAAATGGTCTTCAAAAGGCTAAAATCCTTGTGTTCCCATGCCTGAAACTCCTCCATCGGACTCCTTTGTTTACTTAGTCCGGAAAATACGGTGCTTTGATATCGGAAACTTTGATAATCGTCTAAGAACACACAGCTTAAAGAGGCCCTATTATGCTTTTTGGGGTGTCCCCTGCGCTCCAACGCGTTACGTGATAGGCTAAGGGGCGGGACATCTCTAAGCGGTTGACCAATCAAAACGGAGCCGGCCAGATAACCAATCAGAGCAGACTGGGCTCTGGTTTCAGACAGAGGGTGAACAGATGAGATAAATAAAGAGCTTTTTGAACATTAAAGCATGGAGACATGTCCCAGGAGAGACAACCTGAATATGAGCAGGACATCTCCTCTTGAAGGTTTTGTATAAAACGTAATAAAAGAACACACACACTGATTGTGTCTAAGGAGGGGAAACAGCATCACATAAATAACGCCACGTGTTAATGGACTGTTTAAGTGGTGTGTGTGTTATTGTGTGTGTCACCTTGTTACTTCACAGGGTGTTGAATCTGCTCTGCATGCTCCCTCCACACACTCTGTCTCTCACACACACACACACACACACACACACACACACACACACATACACACACACACTCTGCTGGGTTTTACTCATTGTTGTATCTGAGCTTTACAACCTTGTTAACAGCGTGTTGGAAAATAGCAGCTAAATATCTGCGGCTGAGAGATAAACTATCCTCTCCGCTCGAGACAGCAGGACCTCCAACATTACACCGTTTATTTATGGACCTGGCTCGCATAACAAACATCAAATAAAACTAATCTTAATAATGCATGTGTTGCCTTTCATCGTCACAGATTGATTTGGTATCCCACATAAAATACTTTTGTTTGTTGATTGATTTTTCGCAGCCATGACCTCGTGGGTGTTAACCGTAACGCTGTGTTCATTCTCTGTCTTTGTATGTCCATTTTTCTAAATTAGGTTAGCCTTATAATTGTGTATATGGACTAATAAAGTATTCCCTTGTGTCCTGACGTAGATGTCCACTCTGGAGCAGGAGGGGGAGGAGGTGGTGGGACAGGCTCGATGCCCCTTTGAGTCCCGCCAGTCCAACGTCGGCCTTTTTGCAGGTGAGTCATTTGAGCAATGAAAAGTCTTTTGATTTAATTTTTTTTTTTAAACACATGTTCAACTCCCACAGCGTCTGATCTGTGCCCTTCCTCCTCTTCAGTGTCCTCAATGTTCCTGTTTTATTAAGATTCCCACATTTCAATTCAACGTATTGACAAAAAGTTCAATAATCAAGTATAAGACAGAATGAAGATTTGAAATTGGGGCACACTTATAAGCCAAACTAATCTTGAGGAAAGGGGTCAGACACCAAACACAAAGTATTTAGATTATGTATTACTAACATTAGAGACAGTTTAGAGCACATGTGTCAAACTCAAGGCCCGGGGGCCAAATCAGGCCCTTAGTGGATTTAATTTCGGCCCGCAGGATAATTTCTAATTACTATTAGATCTGGCCCTCCGGTATATTGCACGCACACCTTCACTCCATCCTGAGGGTCTCCTCAGCTCAGAGCCTGAGCCCAAACATTGATGACCTTGCACCCAAGATGAGATGCCAAGTATCTGAACTAGCATCACAGAGCAGCACACTGAGTTTAATGGATGTTTCCTTCTGCACTTTCTTTCTTGAGACAACAGGGCATGTTTGTTTTGTTCTTTGAGGGGAATAGTTTTTTTGAAGCTGTTGTTGGCCTGTGGGAAAATGCAGATAGAGCCATAAGAAATGAATGTAACTTATTATTTAATGTTGTTTTTAAAGGCAATAATTTAAGCTTTGTTTGTTCCAGATTTAATATGTGCAATAAATTCATTTCAATAAGTTCTGCATTAAACATTTAACAAGTCTGGCCCTCCACTAGTGCCCATTTTTTTATTTTGGCCCTCTGTGTATTTGAGTTTGACACCCCTGGTTTAGACGCATTACAAGTAATAAAAACACCTAAAACTAACCAAATACGAGGGGGTGACTTACCCTAACTACTAAAAGTTACAAACAAATCATCTCATCAGTCTTATTTATATTAGGTTGTTTTTTTTTAAACCGGTGTTTATTGACGTTAAAGGATGTTTTCACCGGTAATTGTCACAATATGTGAGGTTGAATAAAATGTTAAATAATGCTTATGTGCCTTTCGAGGCTCTTCCGGTGATGGTTTAGTGAAGAGAGCCAGTCAAACATTTTAAAATGTTAAAGGTCCTGAATGTCATAATTTAATCAAAAGTGTTTTTTATTTAAACGTAAATCTTGTTTGTGTTCCCTACGGAGGGATTTAGACCTTACTAGTTATTACAGCATTGAGTTTGAGAGAAATTCTGTATATGTCATATTTTTGCTAAACATTTCAAACTTCAGTGAACTTTTTTCAGTTTGACATTAATGCAGTTTGAATGCTTATTGATTTTAAACTACTTACATTTCTTCATAATGATAATGTAGCTTTGACAGAGCTGACTCGTTGCATTGCTGATTATATTTTATGGAAACCTTAGCATTGGTTGCCTAAAATGTCTCTGATAAAAGGTCCTGTACATGCATTACCAATATTTTTGGGGTCATTAAATACTTCTTTTCCCATTCAGTATTGATATATATTAGGGATGGGAATTTGAAAGCAAATGTATATTCGAATATTCGACCCCCAAAAAAAAGGTTAACCGAAATGTACATATCCTATAAAAAAAAAAAAACCTGAATATTCGATTAATCGTTCCCATCCCTAATATATATACAGAAATCATAACTTCTATTAAAGTATCCCACCCCTGAGTTGGCCATACACATAGTCTTAGTCATAGACCTGTGATCTCATTGAAAAATAACTTCAGACATTTTGATTAATACGTTTCAAAACGTATAAAAAAAATGTCAAGTTTCAAGGTAAGAATCGAACAAGGTCATGTACAGGAAATAAATAAACATTACAATACCAAAAAATAATAAAAAAGAGAATAAAATACATGTTGAAAATCACAATACAATTGATGTCATAATTTGTAAGAATAACCAAAAAACATAATCGCTTTACGCTGAAGTTAAGATGTTTGATAAGCTTTGGGTATTGCAATTACACACGTGTACAAAAGTAGCTTAATTCAACTGTTGAGTGCTGTGTGAATAAATGTAAGCGGTGTGATGAAAGTAGCTCTTGGCCACTCAAGAAAGGTTGGAGACCTCTGGTTTATACATAATACAAACGTGGAAGAAGAAAGGTACCTCTGAGAATGTAAAAAATAAATATATAATACTAAACTTAACTACTTGTTAACTACAGCTACACCCTTCCTAATTTATCTGGGTCATTAAATATGAGTGCTCACTTTTATCCCAGGCTGTAATCTGAAGTTGCCCCTCGATGGACTTTAACGTGCGGTTGGGTTTTCTGTACTAATGATAGCAGAGAGAAGCTGATACTGTGTGAACATGTCGGGGTCGAGTTCAGCGAGAGTGAAGGCAGAGCCAGACTCGTTCCTGCCAGGTTTCCACTGACATTTATGCAAAGTTCACACAGGGTGTTATTAAAAGTGACACTTTCTCCTACATCGGCTATCATCTGCCTCTTTCTAAAGGGCAGAATAAAAGTCACCTGTGACCAAAATAGACGCTTCAAAGAAGTGGGTTGCTCCTGGGAGTTATGATCCCTGAGAATGTAATATCAAATCACCTTTTTCTGTCTTTTTTTCTTATCTCAGGTGGTGATTTCTACTCGGCCACCATGACAGACTTCTTGGCGAGCGACGCAGTGATTTACCGAAGTCTGGGAGAAAGCAGCCCAGTGCTGCGTACCGTCAAGTACGACTCCAAATGGCTGAGAGGTGAGAGAACAGCATGTGAAGGAAGATATTATAATGCGCAGCGAGCCGCTTAATAATGAGAGAAGGATCCCGGAGCAAAGCTGCAAATTATCCCACCTATTACACTGCTGCGTTCTTAATAAACCAACAATATGACTCAAACAAAGATTATATTGATTTAAAATGTGACAAAGAGATTACCGCAGCACCGAAAGAGGTTTTCTGTAACTGATCAAGTCTGTTCACATTTTATTTTCCATTAAACAGTATTTGAACACTGCAAGAGCCCATACTGTGTTCCCTTTAGTGTTTACTTCCTGTCTGTCTTCTTCTGCTGTTCCCTTTAGTGTTTACTTCCTGTCTGTCTTCTTCTGCTGTTCCCTTTAGTGTTTACTTCCTGTCTGTCTTCTTCTTCTGCTGTTCCCTTTAGTGTTTACTTCCTGTCTGTCTTCTTCTGCTGTTCCCTTTAGTGTTTACTTCCTATCTGTCTTCTTCTGCTGTTCCCTTTAGTGTTTACTTCCTGTCTGTCTTCTTCTTCTGCTGTTCCCTTTAGTGTTTACTTCCTGTCTGTCTTCTTCTGCTGTTCCCTTTAGTGTTTACTTCCTGTCTGTCTTCTTCTTCTGCTGTTCCCTTTAGTGTTTACTTCCTATCTGTCTTCTTCTGCTGTTCCCTTTAGTGTTTACTTCCTGTCTGTCTTCTTCTGCTGTTCCCTTTAGTGTTTACTTCATGTCTGTCTTCTTCTGATGTTCCCTTTAGTGTTTACTTCCTGTCTGTCTTCTTCTGCTGTTCCCTTTAGTGTTTACTTCCTGTCCGTCTTCTTCTGATGTTCCCTTTAGTGTTTACTTCCTGTCTGTCTTCTTCTGCTGTTCCCTTTAGTGGTTACTTCCTGTCTGTCTTCTTCTGCTGTTCCCTTTAGTGGTTACTTCCTGTCTGTCTTCTTCTGCTGTTCCCTTTAGTGGTTACTTCCTGTCCGTCTTCTTCTTCTGCTGTTCCCTTTAGTGGTTACTTCCTGTCCGTCTCTTCTTCTGCTGTTCCCTTTAGTGTTGACTTCCTCAGCCATCATGAGTCAATGCACCCACAGTATATAAAAATGAATACTTAAGAAGTATTTTATGGTGATTTCTGACTGTTTTTGGCCACAGCTGATGTTAAATGGCTTCTCTCTGCGGACTAATATGACTTCATTGCCCTCAGTTCAGAGCGTTCTTAACAGCGGTCTACTATCTAGAAATAACAGACCATTGAATATCCAAATTGACCAATCAGCATCAAGTATTCACCCATGCTGTGAAATGAAGTGTAACATTAGGTACATAGCATACAGTTATGGCAGTTGAATACTGGGCGGCTTCTTATTTCTCTGATATATGAACCTGTCAAAGACTAAAGTTTGGTCCTGATTGCTTTTCCATTTTGAATCATATTCTCCAAGTCTGCAAAATGCCAGGATTCACTGCGCTCAGAGGATAACAAATCTCTTTTCAAATCTTTTATCGTTCCTTGCCCTTTTATAGTAATCATTCAGGCAGCAGCTTCTCCTTTCTCCCGGTACTCACCGTCGCAGATTGTATCAGAAGGAAGTGATTAACATTCATTTCAGAAGTTTCTTTGTTTTCGCCAAGTTGGTGTCTGTGCTCGGCCATCGATACATCGCTCTCTAACACCGCCGTGCAACAGGCTTGATTGCGTCCCAGCACTTTCACCAAGGCTGTCATTTTCATTAGCTCATAATTATAGTAAAATGGGTCCATTATTTCTTGATCAGTCAATCATCACACAAGAGTTACCTTCCTGGTCATTCTCATTTAAAGCAGCGTGTAGAACTATTTAATTTCCCATCCTATCGAGACATTAAATGTGTCTTTGTTCCCTCTCATGGAGCTACGTCAAGGCGAGGGTGTTTTTGTAGAAGGACCCAAAGTTAGCGTCAAAGCACATAGCACAAAGTAAATGGGATTTCTCCAGTGGATTTTGGAATATTGCACAAAATAAGATCTTTGTTAAAGACACTTTTATGAACATACATATATTGTTCATCTGGATAATCTCCACATATTAACACAATTGTTAATATTTGAAGTGGAAATGCAATTGATATACGCAAGCAATACACTAACTTACATAGCTACATGTCACCACCGCTAAGCTAAAGGTGGCTAATCTTCTGTGTGATGACGTTTAGTAGTTTCATTTAGAAACTTGTTAGCAACAGCTGTTTAAAAAACCAGTAGGGTATTTATTGACGTAATTTAAAACGCGGGAAAGAAAGGAGAAAATCCCCTCAGCTTATTTCAGGCATCTGAATGCATACAAAAGAAAATGATTGACTTCGAGACGAGGGAAACTGGAAGTGCTAATGCTAACTCGTTCCCGCACCACTCTATTGCTTCCATCAGATAAAAAAAGCCTGAAAATACATTTCTCAACCCACAAAATCTGATTGCAGATCTCAAAACAAACTGTAACTTTTAGGTATTTTAGTCATGTGTACCGCCGGCTGAACTTCAGCTGTAGAAGTGACTGACTTTATCTTAGATATACAGTACAGGTGTTTTTATCAGCTCTGATCCAGGACCAGCTCTGCTTTGTTATCTCTCCGATAGTACGTGTGTTTTCCTTATCTGTCTGCCCTTATATGTAAATGTGCCATTTCTGAACGCTCTCTCCCTGCATTTCTCCTGAGCCCATTGTCCAAATTGAGCGTTTGTGTTTACCAGCTCCCCTAACCGCCTGCTCCCGATGCACATGTCAATCCCTGAATAAGTCCTCACAGATGTCACATGTTTTCTCTCCTGCCTCCCACAGAGCCCCATTTCCTGCACGCTATCGAGTACGGGAACTACGTGTACTTCTTCTTGAGTGAGATCGCAGTGGAGTACACCACTCTTGGCAAGGTGAGGCTTCAGACCAGACACTCTTGTGGTTTGTGGTGTCTGCATAATTGTTTGAATGGAATGAAGTCAATCAACATCTCTTGCCACATGCTAACAATCACTTTTATTGTCGGCTAATTATTTCCTGTTCCTAAACATGATTGATAGCTGTCAGCCGTAAGCAGAGGTGGGAAGTAGTGCATTTTTCTGGTATCAGTACTTTACTCCACGACTTATTTTTCTGAAGGCTTTGACTTCTTACATTTTGAACAGAAATACTTGTACTTTCTACTTCTTACATGTTGAACACAAATACCTGTACTTTCTACTTCTTACATGTTGAACACAAATACCTGTACTTTCTACTTCTTACATGTTGAACACAAATACCTGTACTTTCTACTTCTTACATGTTGAACACTAATACCTGTACTTTCTACTTCTTACATGTTGAACACAAATACCTGTACTTTCTACTTCTTACATGTTGAACACAAATACCTGTACTTTCTACTTCTTACATGTTGAACCCAAATACCTGTACTTTCTACTTCTCTCATTTTCCAAACAGGCTGGTTCCTTTCCTTTGAATGTGTGTTTGGTGGCGTGATCATTATTATTTAGAGTCATTGCGTGCCTATTGATTTGAACACGATCCGTGTATCCATCATTTCCTGGTCTTCTCTAAAGAAGAGGGACCAATGGAAACGTTGTCATGTTGCCGTTGTTCAGCATGGAAACATTCATTAGCTAACAAGGACATTATTGTTCTAATAATATAAAGGGAGGTCAGGTACTCTTTAAAACAGCTGCTAGTTATGGGTACTTTTTACTGAAGTACATTTCAAAGTCTTTACTTTGACTTGAGTAAAGAAGTTTAGTCAGTACTTCTACTTTCACCAGAGTATTTTGAAACACGAGTATCTGTACTTCTACTTGAGCAAAGAAGTGTAGTTGTTTGCATCAGAACATCCTCCATCATCTCGGTCACCCTTCGTGCTCCCAGCTGCTCTATAGATCTATCTTTATTGTTACGTGCTGCCTGAGACCTCTCCACTTCTGTGTAAATATCCATCTGTGGCGGACAGCGAGACTCTGACCTCATTACGGACGCTAACAAGCGATATCAACACCGATTGGGCTCAGGATTTATCTCCTCATCGCCCACGATACTCCCTACAGCTGCTTTTGCAACACAGCGTAACAGAAAAGGCTCTCACGGCATTCAGAGTTTTTGGGCAAGAAGCTCATATGTATGCCTGGTATTAATTACATTTTAACAAAGGAACGTCAAGTCTGTGGGAAGCGTTGGAGAACTGTGACATCAAACATACCTTTATTTGATCTTTTCTTAGCAGTGCTAGCAACATGGCTTTATCAACAACAACAACAACAACAACAACTTCAAATAGCAAAACAGTTATATGATCTTTGTTTGCCTTCGGAAAAATGTGAAGACACACTTTCTAAGGAGTCA